GGAATCATGACATGTCATACATGTCATGTGTCCTTAAGGTTAAGGCAAAAGTAAGGGAACAATTTGTATATCAAATATCTAGAGGGAGAAACAAAATAGACAAACTCTGGTGCAGTATGTCTAGACAACTAGATTAGTATGGAGGCATATAAGCAACACACTCACATGGCTTAGAGCCTAGGGAGGATAGGCTCAAGTCACAATCGCAGGGGTATTTATTGGTAATACCAAACTTCTTCTACGTGAAGACCCAGGTACTCAGATGAAAAAAAAAGAGAGTGGAACGAATTCCTAGTGTACATCCCACTGCTAAAGTCACATTCATCATTGACCTCTCCAGAAGAAGCTTACAGTTAGACATGTTTTGCTGGATATAAACCCATAATTTATATACACATTGAAACTTGTCCATTTTATATTATTTATAGATCAGCTAGACTATTTTTAAGTCATCTCCTTTGAAAGTTGTTGATCTAGAGTTGCATACATATAGATGCACAAAAGTTTAAGATCAAAGGGTAACTGAACGTTTTATTCGGAGACATAAGTGTTAGACAACTCTATAATCACAGTTGTATAGGCACTTGTTGATTTGGCAATAAAATCTTTATCTGATATGACTTTGGCAGATAGATAAGGATTTCTGCTTTCAGGTATCATGCTATATTAAACCTATAGGAAAAATACTTAGCCAAGCATAGCAATGCTCTATATAGAAAAATGGAAATATAAACATGGCTACTAGATGTGTAACACTAAAGAGAGGAGAAGAGGACTGGGGTTTAAAAATAAGGAATCAGCAATCAAAATAATGGAAATAGTGGCAAGTATTATAAATTTGAATAAGTGAAAACATTCTAGTAATCGCAGAAAAATATTCTAAAAGTGTAACACCACCACTTTCCAAACCATATGGGTGACGTATTCCATATCCATTAGCTGGATCCACTAATAAGAATACATTTTAGATGTCCCATGAGCTTGTGGAAGGAGTTCCATTGTTGGTAAAGGTCGAGATCCGAGAGGAAGGCAGGGAACCAGTGTAAGTTGGAGACAGTATTACAAAACACTCTGTCTCTTTTTGACAAGTAACGGGAAGGGATTGTCCTGTCTGTATTCCAAGTGAGCATTTCTTTCTATTTCACTGGAATATCCCAATGTTAAATGCTGCTTGAAGATAGTAGGAGAGTTGCTAGGAAGCATACAGGTAAGGCAACATGACATTTAAAGCTGCCATTATATGGGTTTTATCTATACAAGTTTGTCCGTGTGCAGAGTTATGTGCCCTTAGTGATTTATTCACTAAACATTCCCATCAATAACCAGATTTGTATCATATTTAAGACAATGAGAGACAATGTTGAGGAGTTTGCTTCAAGTGAATCATATCATCCATTCTGTGAATTTTAATATTCTTCCTCAAGATCCCTTTGAAGTGACCTCAGTTGTTGAAAAGTTACATTTGTGAAGTTCATACCACATCAAAGGTCCATCACGTCCTCTACAGTAGCCTTCACTCTGCCAGTCAGGGAGTGTATGTCTTCCTTTACAACAGAGAGATGTGGTATTTTGGGTGAACATGCCACAGTATGTCCCGGAATACATCAAAAGTAAACCATATTGAGAGGTATTGCGACAATTTCTGCTCCAACATAACACTTTTGGAACTCACAAAAACCCCTCCAAAATAGTGGGAAAAAGAACTAAGAATAAGATTAGTGCAGCTAAATCACACATGAATCAATCACTGGATATTATTCACATACCAGTACAAAAATACGACCCTCCTATCCTCAAAACATTTAAGAGAAGGCGCACACAAAATATATATATATATGTTATCCTCCTTGGTTTTCGAGAATGTACATGCTTTGGGTTTTTTTTGGTTTGGTTTTTTACAAAAACACAATATACTCCCCACCCTGCTTTTTTTTATACAGACAAAAAGACAATATGTCCTTATATTTTTTTATACTGCGATTTACATGTAATATTTTACTTTCTTTATAATATATTGTATGCACTTATGTCGAACTTATATCGAACTGACCACATAATTGTGTGACAACATACTATTCTGTGAGAAGCCCTCTCTTGTTTTTGGACTAGATTAAAGGTTATATGTTAGAAAAAGAAACCATGAGCTTTCTTAAAAACCAAGGAGGTATCATATATATTCCGTGTGCACTTTCACTTTACTTTTTTGGGTTTATGACACTTTTGTAAGTATAAGTAGTTTGATGCTTCCATAAAAGGGAAAGCTTACTGGTCAAGTGCTCAAAAAGTTTGTACTTATTTGAACTTTAACTCCTTAAGAAACCAGGGTTAGCCAAACTCTTGCTTTTATGCCTGTCTCGACATGTCATTGTTCAAGAAAGCAACTGAGATTATATAATTGAATTTTACTGAAATAGCCATTTAAATAATCTCTAGAACAACTTAATTTTCACTGCAGTCTTCCTGAACCACTTTGATATTATTGGGAAAAATAGATTATTTTGAAATAGAATATATTCTTTCAATTTTCTCTGTCCTACTTTTGCTCTTTTCGGACTAGAAATGGATTTAAGTTTTTTTTTTTTCCATTATATGTTACTTTATCATATCATTTCAAAACTGTACAGACTTATTCTTCATAGAAAAGTTATCAGTATAAAAACTCTGAAGTACATCGCCTTCTGTCTCAATAACTGCTGTATTTTTTTATTTTCATAATACATTTTAGATATTACATTGTGTAGAAAAAAAAAAATGTAAAAGCGAACTTAAACAAAATTAATTTAAAAAGCCATAAAATAAAAGGAAAATAATAGTATTTTATGTGTACACATATGGGCAATAAATAAAAATGTTACTAACATCTGCATACTTTAGAAGCTTTTTCTTATTGCAAATGAATTAATATTATCTAAATACGCTGTTTTGTTAGCTTTCTAAGTGTACTGTTGTGGGGATATTTATGGGATAATAATAGTAACAGTGAGAATTGCCCACTAATTCAATTCTCAGATCCCAAAGAACGTTTATCGTAAGTGAAATGTATTTCATATAATTAATATCACAATGTATAAAAATAGATTTTATTTATGATAATCAATAATTAACAAATAATATTATGTAACATGCATAACAATAATCAATGAATATTCAGTATAAAATTATATGCAATACAAAGGAATGGGTATTACGTTTCAATGGCTAAAACAGCATTATCTGTCAAGACTTATTTATTACCATCTTTAACACAGACTGAAAGTAAAACTTTTCACACAGAGAACAGAATTCCTCAGAGTGCAGCGTAAGGTCATAAAGTTTAGCAGACAGTTAGAATAACCCTTTCAATGCTGGCTAGATCTCCTAGGTAGTTAAGATCTATTCTTATGTATTTTTAAATAAAATAACATTTAAACCAGTTCACTAGTCATTTTCTTAAACCATCCATAAGAGAATTTACCATTATATAAGCAGATTTTAATTTGTCTAAAAGATATCTATCTTAATTTAGAGCAAATCAATACACCTGGATAAAAACAGCGGTATGCTAACACGTGATAATATCACATCAATATATAATTATTCTTAATTCCACCTGCAGAATGGAATGTTTATAACTATATATTCTTAGTTAACTAAGATTTCTTAATATGGAAATCTGGCCGTGCTTTATCCAGTCATATATAATGCTATTAATACATTTTAATTAATTTAATTTAATTAAATGAAACCAGTATAATTACCAGTTGAGTAGATATTTCATCCGATTGGTAGCCTCAGGAACTTATTTGGATGTCTCTCTCTGCATGGAGGTTGGAGTCCCCAAACTTCCAATTCCTCTCTTTTCTCTCCTTTGCATATCTTGCATCTGCCTCCTTCGTCTCCTATCTCTTGCATCTGCCTCCTCTCGTCTTCTCTATCTATCTTCCCTTTGTCTTAACTTTTAAAGGGCCAGACTCCCTGTACGTCATCAGTCGATGACCCAATAGAAGCACTAGAGGTGTGGTTATCTTCCAGATCGCAAATTAGTTATTTGGTCTGTAGAGGGCAGTCTTGTCCCACTAAACATACCTATCCAGGAAAGAGTTAACTTTTCCTGGTGGCTATTTTGACGTCATTTTGCTTATCTCAGATGACCACTATAACTTACGTATCCTTCAAAGATCAAAGGGTTTCTTAAATTTTGTCCAGACTATGTGTCTGGTAAATCTGCTATAATTTCTGATATGGCAGATCATGAACTAAGTTTACCCTTTTCCATACAATGGTACCTTATATATATAGACAGTTAAATTTTATTATTTAATCTTCTCTGTCACAATTGTCTGGGTTTAGATTTGATTATATTCCATTAGCATTAGACAGTCTGTCCAACCCCCTTCCTTATCACTTGGCTTGTATATACTATGCATTCCTCAGCTCTGGGAAAGTGGTTAGCTTACAGAAAGAAATCTAGTGTCTTCTTTGTTAACTTGAAATAACAAAATGGAGTCTGGTCTGTTCAGAGTGACTCAGAATATACACTTTTAGTTTCTATCATAACACAAAATGTCTGCCGATATAAATACTCTGACATAACCCCCTTTAGTGCATTTCATAGCCAAAATTAATTTAGCTTATGAATAAGCACTATAGAAGTTATCAGACATATTGTGCAATCACGTCATTTCTAACATAGGCCCGTGCGTGGAATGAACATTTTTGTATATATTTGTACCTGTAAAAGTTTTGAACTTTACACTTAGTACAATCAACCATAATATCATTATTAACATAGTACATTATTTTCATTTGAAAAATGTCTTTGAGAGTTACATATGGTATGGCCAATAAAAAGCAAATCTCCATACGTTCCAGATCAATTAAGAGAGGTATAGCGCTCCCCATCTCAAAGGCCAGATTTAATTGCATAGGCTCAATTGTCTCTCCATCCACATTGGCAAGCATCGCATGAACAATATCCTTGGATACAAAATACAGAGGTATGCGTCCCCCTGCCAATTCGATCATTCCAGTTTGCACTTCGTCAAGAAAGCAAGTGTGTGGAACAGTATTGGGTCATGCAGAAATAAAAGTTCACGCTTGAATAAGTCATGACTTTGGTGCAACTCAGTGGATTTGGCAATTAACTCTGAATGCAAATTTGTTGTAACAACTGTGTCTTCCACAATAGTTAACACGTCTTGGAGAAGTGTTCTTTGCTGTTGTATCACCTGATGAATATCGTTAATGTGTTGCTTTAGCGCATAGATTTCCATATCCAGCTTTTGGACAGTAATAGAGTTGGCTGCAGACATTCCAGTTGCGACAACTGCACCGACAGTGGCACAAACTAATGCAACAATTATAGCGGTGAGGAACCTTTTGGGTCGGTTGCTCATCGGAATAGAACTGGATACAAATGGTTTCCGGGCTTGCTCCAAGATGTTTCGCACACGGTCCTGTGCTCTTTGGAGGTGCATCTGGTACCAAGTCTGTAACTCAGGAAGCTGCATCGATGAAATGTTGTATGCCTTCTCGATGGAAATCTTGGGGTCCAAGCTGACGAACACACGTCGGGTCAGGATCCTCTTCTCTGTTAAGATGAACCCTGGTGTCTCTTGAATCAGGATGCGGGAGGATGGTCCCATCTCTGCAATCGGGTCGGTCCGTAGCTCTTGGCACAGGAGCAGTACGATCCAGAAACACGCCACATCCTTCTTGGACATCTTTCGACAGTCACGGATCAGGAACTCGTTTCAGACTTATCTACTAATGATTCAAGGTTTGTTAAGCATACAAACTTATAACAGTGTGACATCACTTGGCCTAGGACAACACATTATTACGATTCATCAACATATGTATTCTGTCTAATTCTATTTTTATAACTTCATCCCTCACTACATTTATTACTGACTCTTCAGCAATTTGCCTATAGCAGTTAAACAAGCTAGTAACCTGCTTATAAAATGTAGTTATTGGATGGCAAGGAAATGGTTAATGACATGAACGTACATGAGATCATGGCACATCACAACATTTCACATCATACTATACCACGTGAATCAAGCATTCATCCAGGTTAGTCGTTCACCCTTCTGCGTCTGAATCCACACCTATAATCCTTAATTGAGATTTAGGATGACAAGCACGCAACTGGTTAATGTGAACCCACTTTTCAATAAAATCACCATCCTTAGGAATTTTTATCTTATACGCTACTGGGGAAATTTTGTCAATAATGACATATGGCCCTTTCCAAGAAGGTAAAAATTTCTTTTCCTTGACTTGATTTCGCGCAAAGTTATACAGATAGACTTGATCTGTTATCTCATATTCCTTTTTCGTGGTTTTTAGATCGTAATAGGTCTTAACCCCTGTCGCTGCTTTTTCTAGATTCTTTTGGGCAAAAGCAAACGCATGCTGTAAATGCTTGCGCAAATCTTCGATATACTGATGCGTAGTGGCAGCATTGATCAAGTTATGATCCGAAGTACGATATAGTAAATGCTGTGGTAAAACCATCTTTCTTCCTGTCATCAATTCAAAAGGTGACAATTTGGTAGCAGTGCTAGGTGTAGCTCTAATCGCCATTAAAACTAGGGGCAATTTAATGTCCCAGTCTTTACCAGACTCCTTAACATATTTCTTCAGAATATTAACGATAGACTGGTTATATCGCTCTACCCCCCCCCGCTAGACGCAGCGCGGTATGCAATATGTAGCTTTCGTTTAACACCTAGAATGTTCCACATCTTAGCCATTACTTCGCTGGTAAAATGACTACCTCTGTCTGACTCAATTCTTTGAGGCAGACCGAACCTGGAAAAGACATGGTTAATCAACAAAGTGGCGCACACGGTACTCGTGTTCTCTTTACAAGGCAAACATTCTATCCACTTTGTGTACATACATGTAACGGTTAACATGTATTTGTTACCTCTTGAAGATCTTGTTACAGGACCTATAAAGTCAATTTGAATATCAGACCAGGGTAATGACACCCCCCTCTTCTGAAGTGGTGCACGATGGGTTGGACCATGGGGTTGATATTGCGGACAAATCAAGCATCCCTGACAGTATGTCTTAACATCCCTTAACATGTGTGGCCAATATGCATAATCACGCAATATCTCATATGTGATCTTATCACCACGATGCCCAGATGTAGGTGCATCATGTGCGTGTTGGAGCATTAACCCTCTGTATACAGTTGGGACTACCCATTGTTGTATACCATGTTTAGAAGTTCTGACCAGTAACCCATCCATGATACTAAATTGGACTTTATATCTCATCAAGATTCGTAAATCTTCATTATTTTTGCAATCCTCATCTGTGATGGGATTGGCAGTAGGGTCTTCTATATGTTTATAGAATATGCCTATGACGGGATCGTTCTTTTGACTAGTAATCAGGTCATCACTAGGAGCTTCTTGACTCCATTGCACGACATTTAAGTCGGCATTATCTCTAGCCTGACGTCTAGTTATGGCGTCAACATGAATTGAACCCATAAGATCATCAATGTTTAGGGTTTCACCATTGATGGCAGCTTGTTTTGCCAGTGAATCGGCTAAGTCATTACCATCCTTGTCAATACCTTCTATTTTAGAATGGCCTTTGGTTTTCTTCCAATATATGGTTAAACCATTTTCCTTAACCAACTCATCGATTTTACAAAACAATTTCCCATGTTTAACAGGTTTGTTATTGCTTTTCAGCATTTGGTTACGTTTCCAGCTAGGCAGATATTCGACGAAACTGTTGCGAACATAGTTGGAATCAGTTATAATAACAAATTCTTTGATACCATATTCTATTGCCATTTGAATGGTCTTATATACTGCACAGAGTTCGGCTATCTGACTGCTTTTGGGACCAATATTGTATCCTATAGATACATTAGGATAATCACCTGTCCAGGCGATTCCGATACCTGCAACTAACTTCCGTTCAGCACCAGCGACGTGGTGATATGAACAACCATCAATGTATACCCACGGTAGTGGTCGACAGTATTCCTCGTCATAAACTTTATAAGGAGATAGCAATTGCTCTTCTAGGAAGTCATCTCCGGTGTCATTATCATCCAGAGATGGAGCAGTACAGTCATGTAATTCTGCTAAACCTTGGGCAACTGGGCTTCTCTTATTATGTTTATAACGGACTTCTAACGGCCATCCCTGTAAGGATAGAGTCCATGCAGTAATCCGACTGTTAGAGAGATTACCGTCTCTAATTCTTTCACTCTGCAGATACTGTAGAGGTTGGTGAGCTGTTTCTACAATTATTTTCTCACCTTGGATATAGCTACGAAAATTTTGTAGTGCCCAGACAGTCGACAATAACGCCTTCTCACACGTGTTGAATTTAACTTCAACAGGTGACAAAGTCTTGCTAGCATATGCAATAACTTTGTTTAAACTGTCCTGCTTCTGATACAGAACAGCACTTATGCTTAAATCGGTATATCCTGTCTCCAGATAGAAGGGTTTACCCCCCTCTGGGTATGCTAAACAGGGTGCCTGAGTGAGCTTCCTCCTCAGTTCACTTACCGCTTGGTCCTGAGGCTCCCCCCAGTTCCAGGTAGTTTCCTTTTTAAGCAGGTGTAAGAGTGGTTTAGTTATTTCTGCATAGTTATCTATAAACTTACGGGAGTAGTTAGTCATACCAAGGAACGATCTTAATTCCCTGATGTTTGAAGGTGTTTTAGCCTTTAGTACGGCTTCAACCTTCTTCCTCTGGGGATTTAATCCTTCAGAAGTTACCTCATGTCCGAGGAAATTGACATGGGTGCGACACCATTGTGCCTTTTGTAAAGACAGTTTAATCCCTGCTTCTCTTAACTGAGTGAGAACATGTCTAATCTCTAAGATATGCTTATCAAAGGAAGTGCTTTTCAGCAAGACATCGTCGACATATGATAACGTTCCTCTCTCGAGTGCGTCAGGCATAGCTTTATGCATGAACACAGCGAATTCATGACCAGAGTTTATATAACCGAAAGGCATACGGGTCCAGGTATACTGCTGCTTTCCAAATGTGAAGGCCAATTTGTATTGGTCTTCATTATGGACTGGTACAGTCCAATATCCCTGCGCACAGTCAATGGCAGTGAATATTTTGGATCCCTGCATTTGTACCAAACATTGGTCTATGTATGGTGTTGGCCAACCAGACATATAGACGCGTTTGTTTAGCTGTCGTAAGTCAGCGCATAAACGCCATTGTCCATTAGGTTTCAGAATCCCCAAGATTGGATTATTATACGAACTGTGCACTGGACGTATAATGCCCCTTTCCTTTAAATTCTGAATGATGTCTTGTAGACCATCATATGACGCTAATGGGAGTCTATATTGTTTGATAAATACAGGTGGTAAATTTGGATCAGTTTGTATTCTGGCTACGTGGAGGTTAGTTAATCCACAGTCGTAGGAATCTTTGGCAAAAATATCTTGGAATTCCAAAAGGATTTCCTTTAGCTGCTGCCGCTCAGCATCGTTGGAGCAACCGTCAGCTAAAGATATTTGCTCTTCTAGCCTTTCCTGAAATCCTGGAAAGATTTCAGGCTGGCCTATCTCATAAGCTTCTTCAAGCCTAGAAGTTAGGTCAGTTCGGTGTTGACTTACCTTTTCTCTTTGGTCGAGATACTCTTGTGATTCCTGCTCATTGAGCGGATGATCGAAGGTAATAGATGCTTCTTCGATTTTACACGAGCCTTCTTCAACGTTGAAGGGATATACAGATAGGATAGTGAATAATCCTTCTGGGGAGGAATGGAATATTTGATCGACAATTTCGTCCTCAGTTAAGTATTCTTCAGGGATGAGGCCTATAATTTGGTTTTGGAAACCAAATGTATAGTACTCAGCATCCAATGCTAGACCTAATAATGTTCCTTTTGGTAAAGTAACACTATTGGGTGTAACATTGTTGACCATGATATAGGTGGGATTCTTACCAATACTTACCATTGGTGTATGTGTTACCACCATCCCTAATTGTTGTATCCTGTTGGATAAACAGATTAGGGCATCAGAGTTTTCCAATCTCTGACCCTTCTTTACCTGTAGGGGTAAAAGAAAATTACTTGTCCCCTGTGGAATGGTTATGTCATCAGGAACTTGGATACTTACCGCATATGGGAGTATTTGTCCTGATTTCAAGGCGTTTTCCTTGTGTAGGTATCCACAAGGATTACCTTTTAACCTTGTCCACAAGTTGGAATTAATCAGATCAAGGTGTATGGCAAAGCGATGTATGACATCATTGCCGACGTAAACCTGATAGCGAGGTTCATCTATCACTAGGAATAAATGTTTAATTGTCTTATTTCCGATGGAAATAGATAGTAAACATTTTGCTATCACATTGTGACTCTCTGATTCGCCATCCAGGTTCTGGATCCACCTGTCATGTGGGGAAGCGTACCTGATCATTTTAGGATTAGCGATCTGCTTTAACAGACTTCTGCTAATATAGCTGTTCTCACTCTGTAAGTCCAGCTTTGCATTCCTACTTCTTCCTAAGTCGTGTATTTGCATAGGAAAGAATAGGTTGTTATTAACCCTTTCAATTCTGGCAAGGAATTGAGCATGACCTGCCAGATCTACAGATTCAACATAGTCCCTGTGGAGAGAAATGGTTAAAACATCACCTTCCAGAGAGACATTCTGGATCCTCTCTGGAGCAATTCTTACGGAATGCTCATCTACAGGTG